GCTGGGGTTTGTTTGTTTCAAAATTTCGCTCAAAGCTACATAAAAGGTATCTGAGCATATGTGTCCCTAATTTTTAGCTCATAAGCTGGAGGGAAGGCATGTAATCAACAGCATCTAGTCAACATCTTGATTTATTCTTTCCTGATCTAATAGTGGTATTTGACCGTCACACTTATAGTGCGCCTACGATCCCATCTAGTGCGCCTACGACCCCAAAGTTCGGAACATACTTTTGTAGCAACCGGTTGCGAATCGTCGGATGTACAGTCCTGACACTCTGACCACCAGGCCACACCTGGCCCATAGTTGTAAGGATATATCAGACCTAAATTCAATTCGCATGACTCACGTACCATTAAATCGAATTAGGTTTAAGCCTTATAAGCTATATCCTCCACTTTGATGCTTGCTGGCGGCAACCAATTAGCGGAATTATGTGTTCTAATACACAAACGTACAAATCTTTATTACAAGCCAAATCACTGCGGGAATAAGATGTACTTATTCCCCGGATTGTCATTTCGAACTCCAATGTCGTTGCAAGATGTTGTCATTTTGACCCCCAAAATAGTGTTTAATATATTGGGCAGTTAAACAGCAAGCTAATGAACCTTAAGTTACTGAATATCAGTGCCCAGTTCGTTTGAACTTTTGATGAAACCAGCAGAATTGGTAGCTATATCATTAGGTGCCTCTATTCTACATAGGTAGATCAGTGGTTCATGTCTCGATACCAGAAGCAGAAGGGTTTATGTCTGGAGATCCAGTGGTAAACAACATGCTTAATGTAACATCATTGAATTTGACCGCTATGGAGGCAGTTTAGTTATGGTGTGTGTGTAAAGCATCGGATCTTATTATGCTTCAGATAGACACGCCCTTACGCTAGTGTGATCAGACCACAGACGTTGATCTGATTAATGATAACTCCCAGTGTCTAAAACCCATAGCATTTTATGGGACCTCCTTGGACATTGTGTACATTTACGTCTTAACTCACTACGTAGCGTCAGAAGCTTCTTTCGCATGGATAGAGGAATGAGATAAAAAAAAACTCCCCAGATAATTTTCTCCACTATTAATTATCAATATTTCTCAAACATACAGGAACTGTATCAATGCCAGTGAAATTCATACTGGTTATTGTATATATTGTTCTTTGGTGAGCTAAATATGATTATTTGCAACGAATTAATGTCATACTGTGAAGTGTTTTTGTTTGGTTAGTATAGTAGAGTCAGCTAATCGCTGAGCTTGACTTCATCCACTTTAACTCAGAAGTTTTAGTCCTATTGTTTTAAAAATAATTCTATAAATTGAAAGCAATGATAAAAAAGAAGAGACAATATATTAACATTTCTGACAAGAAACAACATATATACATACTGTATTCATAAAAAATAGGGATTTCATGTGTTCCTAAATAGCTTTAAATGGGAATTTGTAGGAAAGAAGCTATATGAGTCCATAACTTATAACAATAACCATATCAAGACTGGCTGAAAAGTGTAATGTCTTAAATCTATACGAGTACATACCTGATAACAATAGCCATACCAAGACTGGCGGAAAAGTGTAATGTCTTAAAACTATACGAGTCCATACCTGATAACAATAACCATACCAAGACTGGCGGAAAAGTGTAATGTCTTAAAACTATACGAGTCCATACCTGATAACAATAACCATACCAAGACTGGCGGAAAAGTGTAATGTCTTAAAACTATACGAGTCCATATCTGATAACAATAACCATACCAAGACTGGCGGAAAAGTGTAATGATAACAGTGACCATACCAAGGCTGGCTGAAAGATGTAATGTCTACCAGTATCAGTTTTTGTTATCTGCACTCGATTCTGGTGTGTTTGTTCATACCCTCACATTTAACTGAATACTGGGTTGTTAACAAACCATACAGACAACAAGTTTTTCAGTATTTTTAATTGGAGTAACTTATTATTTTGAATCCCTGGAACATTTTAAGCACTTCCAGGTTTAGAATGACTCACAACCGGTCTAGTTACGATTTTTAACTTTGGTCAGATATTTTTGTTATATGTTTCTTCAGCAGAAGAACAGCGACAGTGGGACGAAATGTCAGTAGAAGATGTCCGTAGTGAATGTTGTTTTGCAATAATGAACCAGTGTGGTTTTTCTTTTCAGTTATGAGATGAAGTTCTGTTGTATTTTTTTATCTTCTCAAAAAACAAAACAACAGCAACAACAACAAACAAACATTGTCTAGCATTGATTCTATTTTTCGCAGTTATTTCTACCAATATTATCTTTTAGTTATTTCTATAATCAGTGGGTGGACCCTGTGTCCCATTACACATGTAAGTTAACAAACTTAAATAAACACATATGAAAGTTATTATTTGGCACCGTGTGATTACCGTGGCATCACTCACTTCACATTAACAACACATGTGAAATAAACATGAACTGGTACAGTGAAGTATGGAAAAGTAGGTCATACAATGAAAAGGAAGAGATAATAATCTGAGAAGAGTGATTTATAAAATATTCCTTTACACATTGTTCGTTGTTTTTAAAAAAATCGGCATAGGTCTAGAAATTTCTAAGAACAAAACTGAGACATTTTCGTTATAAAAATGGCAGACTTTGCTGTGTTTATATGGCTATTCTAGTCAGCCTAAAAATTTCACCACTTTGTTCATATGACGCGTCAGATTTTACTGCCTACGTATAGCTATCATAGTCAATCTAACAGTTTTACAACTTTAATTGTATGTATGGCGTGTCAGACTTTGCTGCCTTATATATGACTATCATAGTCGGCTTAATGTTTGCACAATTTTGTTCGTGTGTATGGTGTGTCAGACTTTGCTGTCTATGTTAATCTATCTTAGTCAACTTAAAAGTTTTACAACTTTGTTCATATGCATGACATGAAGGACCTTGCTGCCTATGTATGAGTATCCTAGTTGGCCTATTTGTTCTATTGTTTGTGCAGCTTTGTTCTTGCGAATGGTATGTTTAATATGAGTATTTCAGCTTTGTTCGTAGCGTTGAAGGTCTTTCTTGGCTAATATTGTCACTGTAGTAATAGCTGAATACTATCAATGGTAATTTTCACAAGTATGCTGCTCATCAACAATTGACAAAGGAGTAGGCATTCAATGATCATCCTTACAAGTGGTTGTACCAGAGTAGGAATTCAATCATTATTCTTACAAGTGGTTGTACCAGAGTGGGTATTCGATCATCATCCTTACAATTGGTCGTACCAGAGTAGGTATTCAATGGTCATCCTTACAAGTGGTCGTACGAGAGTAGGTATTCAATGATAATCCTTACAAGTGGTTGTACCAGAGTAGGTATTCAATGATCATCCTTACAAGTGGTTGTACCAGAGTGGGTATTCGATCATCATCCTTACAAGTGGTTGTACCAGAGTAGGAATTCAATCATTATTCTTACAAGTGGTTGTACCAGAGTGGGTATTCGATCATCATCCTAACAAGTGGTCGTACCAGAGTAGGTATTCAATGATCATCCTTACAAGTGGTCGTACGAGAGTAGGTATTCAATGATCATCCTTACAAGTGGTCGTACCAGAGTAGGTATTCAATTATCATCCTTACAAGTGGTAGTACCAGAGTAGGTATTCAATCATTATTCTTACAAGTGGTAGTACCAGAGTAGGTATTCAATGATCATCCTTACAAGTGGTCGTACCAGAGTAGGTATTCAATGATCATCCTTACAAGGGGTAGTACCAGAGTAGGTATTCAATGATCATCCTTACAAGTGGTCGTACCAGAGTAGGTATTCAATGATCATCCTTACAAGTGGTCGTACCAGAGTAGGTGTTCAATGATCATTCTTAAATGTCTACTGAATACTGTTATATGTAATGTAGCAGGATGTGTGGGTTGCAGTTTTTATGGGCGTTTTTTTACAATTACGTATAAACGAAGCAACTTTTCATATTTTAAGATAACCTTTCATTAATCATGAATTTACATAACCTCTGTCCAAGGTACGGGTTCTCCAGCTAATTTAAAATATTGTACTAAATAAAATGCACTACAATAATATCAGTGTGCGAATACCGATTTAAAGGAAACACATGCAACTGATTATTGTAAGTCAGTGATAAACTAAATATTAAGTTTTATGTTTTTGTTTGTTTTTAACCTCAAAGCCACACAATGGACTATCTGTGGTGTGCCTGCTCACTGCGGTTATTGGACTTCAATTTTTAGTGTTATAAACCCACAAGCTTACCACTGAACCACTAGCGGGACTAAATATTATAGCTAGTTTGATGTTTAAAGCATTATGATATTAAAACAGTGCAGGTGTAAATCCCACGACTTCTGTGCATATACGAGCTTAGTGCACATTGATTGCAAGATTAGTTACCACTGCTTAGATGGATCGAGAAAAAGAATTGTCTTTGTTCATTGATGAATAGATTGGTCTCTGTATACTGGTGCAAATAAATAAATTGGTTTTTGTATACTGGCGCAACAGTGAAGAGATTGGTTTGTGCAAATCGGTGCAACGAATGACTCGATTATTTTATGCATCACTATACAAAATAACTGATATTATAAATCTATACGCACATTTTTTGTAAACTATAAGTGACATTATTACAGCTTTAAAGACCTAAACATTCTGTTCATGTTAATGACTGTTTTGCTTTTATTCAAGTCTTAAACCTTGAATGACTAAATGTGAAAGGTAAAAACGGTGGTTGACTTTAGGAAAGTACTCCTTAGTACAGGCCCGTTGCGTGTTACATTTCTTAATTCTAGTTAGTGAAGTCGTAACATTACGTCTATTTTGTTTGTACAGCTTTAGACGTCTTTAACTGTCCACCCATCAGGAATATTTATAATTTAGTAACATAAAGAAATATATTTTATAAGATAACGATTTCATTGTACATGGAACGTGATACATTGCTGCCTAGTTACAGAAATTGCTGTAAAATTGGTTAGAATCAGTGGCGTAGATACCTGGTATGCTCTTTACTTGTTTGTTGTTAAGCGCAAAGATATACAATGAGTTAAATATGACGATGTTAATAGCGTAATAATTTATCAGCAATGAAGATGAAATAAACCAGTTTGTTTTATCTCTTATTTATCTAAATACTAATGTGCAATTTTTTGCATACCCATTTTTTTTAACTTTCGTTATTTGTTTTTGTGAGAAAGATGATAAATACCAATGTTTAGAACCTCGATCTATATCAAATTTCATTGCTGGTCATTGAAGGTATTTAACATGAAAACACATTTGGAAGTATAGATCTGAGAATGTTAAGTAAATACTGTAAAACCTACAAATGTTCAAATACTCTCATACCAATCTTTAATTTTACGAGTAAAATAAAACGAACAAAAACAAACACGTGGTTAATATCGCAGTGGCCTGGTGGTTGTGGTGTTTGATTCGCGGGTTCGAAACCCACATGCTCGCCCTTTCAGCAGTGGAGCGCGGCTCATTCATTAGCTTGCCAGATGTGGAACTGAAGTTATATAGTTCACGTCCCGTTACTTTGGAGTCGTGGGTGCGTCATAAGAGTGACTGTCAAATCTCACTATTCGATCTGATAAGAGTAGCCGAAGAGTGTTTTCGGTGAGTGGTGTTTACTAGCTATATTTTCTCTAGTCTGTCATTTCTACATTAGAAACTAGTAGAGCACATCGCCCTAAACTCTAAAACTGACAAATGGTATTAAGGTACCAATAAGCTGATTTTAAGAATGTTAAAGAGCGAACAGTTACTTTAATGGTTCAATTCCTAAACAGATGAAGTAGAAAAAGAGCTGCAAATAAATGTCAAATTCTGCAATCCAAAAGAAATATTTGAGTACAATTTACAAAGTGACAAGTTTGACAATGCTAAAGAATTCATTTTTTCATGTTAATTTTTTTTACGTGCTTCTTTACACATATTCAAACGAATGATTCTGTTCTCATCAACTTTTTTTTTTAACTCTTCGGCCTAAATGTGCAGAAAGACATCAACAGATAATACTGGCGTAAAAAGGACAAACATAAATAACTTTTTATGTGATCCAATTTAGTTTTTCTGCAGGTAATTTAGCGTAACTATACATGGTTAGATCTTGGGGATATCAGGGTTGTTGGCAGAGGTGGAAGGGAAGGCGCTGGAGAGAAAGAAATTGGCAATGTTAGTGATTACACATGAGAAGTGCATAGAGATTCTGGAAATAGACATTTCAAGGTGCTGTTCTCTTAGCCTCGAATGTGGAACAGTTTTGCTCGCGTTGTTTAACAGTACCGAGTCTTTGTACTGTTGCTCGGTGTAAAAAAAAAATCACTGAAATTTCACGCTGATGTCTACGTCGAAAAAATAAATAACATTACCACACATCGGATCGGATATTTCACGCTTAATGCTAAATCATGTATGCGGACATGGAAAAAGAAAAGCCGTGGAATATGTTCACTTAGCTCTTGGATAATTTACGACAGTTGATTAGCCTAAACTTATAGAATGTTTAATATTGCCTTGTAATCAACCTAAAACAACCCATACAGTAAATGTCAAATACGCAATAATTAAAATATTTCTATGGTATATTATTATTAATCAATACATAATTGTCACTCTGTTTATTTAGTTTGTGTTATGGGAAGTCCTAAAAATATATGTGTCAAATAAGGCGCGGTTCCAAGTACATAGAGGTTGTTGACATTTAGATAATTTCATTTAGGAGTATAAGGACTTTTAAATTCACATGATAACATAGTTTTCAAATCATGTTTCAAATAAAAATTTCTGAAAAAGAATCAATTTAATGAATCATTTAATTAGCCTAGATTTAAGCCCATACACTGAAATGTAGCTTTAAAAAACAATGAAAAAGAGAGTTTGTTTTGAAGCCAGGTGATTGAAAATATTAGGTAGTCAAGAAATTAATGTCGTTTTTTCTAGATAAAAAAACCCGAACAACTTATATATGAAAACAAAACATTTATTAAATGAAACAGTC